GAGGATGGTCTAATTTATGACCGAAACGTCTATTAATGTAAATTGGATGGAAATAAAATAATCGCTGCTAACATCTTGCGTCGTGGTGTATACTTTTAAAACAATTCATTGTTTTTAATTTAACCACGTTTTGACTCTTATTGTGAATTTATCAAGTTAAGAAAATTGGTCAAATATTGCATCAAATTAAAAAAAAATCGCCTCTCTGATCTATTCATTTTTTTTCTTTCGTAAATATCCGGACATTTTGTTAGCAGATATTCCTCACAATCTCGCGGAAATAATATATATCGTGGATTTTATCTCCAACTTTCTGATATCTCTCGAATAATCGAGAGCGCGAAAAAGAGTATTTCAATAACTATTTATCGCGACGGAGATGCGCAAATGTCGTTGGAACTCTTGCTGCACTTGGCTCATAAATAGTCGTATTTGCATGTAAATTGTCTTACAATTAGTTGCAACTTGCTCGTACAATTATTCAACCGTCTAACAATACAAGGATATTATGTTATGCGACATTTTTTTATCTGACTTTTTTATCTATGCATACACGAACATTTTGTTTTCATTTTGTATGAATTACAAAAATCAATTTAAACATCATTACATGAATTTACCAAAATTTCTTTTAAAAAGAGTTAAGATATATATATATATATATATATATATAAATTTAAATACATATGTTGTCAAGGTCATGACTCTGAGTGACCTTCAACAAGTTTTAGCCGTCGCTCGTTATTCGTTACAAAGTTATGAACAAAAAAAGTTCAGCTATATAACACGAGAATTCCCTGCTTTAAAATATGTTTGATAGTCGTTCACTGTAGGGGACGCCGCGCCGACGACTGCGACTTTAACATATATCATCAAGGTCATGACTCTGAAAGACCTCCAACAAGTTTTAGGTGGCTTTCATCTTTGACTCTCACCTTTGACTCTCAACCCCCCCTTCCCCCTGCTTCAGGGGCGCACGACTTTCCAGGGGTGAGAGTCGAAGGGGAGAGGCGGGCGCCCCTGAAGCAGGGAGGAGGGGGAGGTGAGAGTCGAAGGGGAGAGGCGGGCGCCCCTGAAGCAGGGAGGAGGGGGAGGTGAGAGTCGAAGGTGAGAGTCGTGCGCCCCTGAAGCAGGGGGGAAGGGGGTGAGAGTCGAAAGTGAGAGTCGGGGGCTCCTGAAGCAGGACGGAGAGGGGGTGAGAGTCGAAGGTGAGAGTCGTGCGCCTCTGAAGCAGGGGGGAGGGAGTGAGAGTTGTGCGCCATATGCAGAGGGACAAGTGGGATGAGAGTCACTTCAGGTGAAAGTCGTTTAGTAAGAGTCGAAAGTGAGAGCCCCTGAAGCAGGGGGGGGGGGGGTTGAAGATGAGAGTCGTGCGCCCCTAAAGCAGAGGGGAGGGGGATGAGAGTTGAAGATGAGTGTCGTGCGCCCCTAAAGGGAATTGATAAATTCTTTGATATCATGAGTACAATATATCTACTAGATAATGTAAATATTGATTAAAATTCTTAATTCAGATGTATGTACTGTGAGTACTCTTTATTTTAAAATTTAAATACTAAAACTTGTTAAAGGTCACTCAGGGTCATGACCTTGACAACATATGTCAAGGTCAAGGTCATTGGGAGACGTCCCCTACAGTGCACGACTATCAAACATATTTTAAAGCAGGGAATTCTCGTGTTATATAGCCGAACATTTTTTGTTCATAACTTTTTAAATAATAACGAATAACGAGCGACGGCTAAAACTTGTTGAAGGTCACTCAGGGTCATCATGATTTGTCAAGGTCAAGGTCATTGGGGGGGGGGGGGGCTCCTGATCTAGATATTTACCGAAATTTTTAAAGAAAATTTTTTGTAGGGTAGACCGGAGAGTAAAGAGCCACTTTTGACATTTTTTGTTATAAAATATAAAATAAAGAATATTTAACTCACACAGATCGTGTTGATGTTTTTCGAAACTAGAGTCCTTTGACTATAAAATACATGCAAGAAAGTATGCATATATTATACCCTTCATTACAAAGATATCGTAAATTTTACAAAGGAAGTCATTCGGCACTTCTTACCCCATATGTGGGGTAAGAAGTTCCACATAATGAGGTAAAAAGTACCAATACTAATATATTACATTTGAACTATTTTCAGAGATAAAAATAGGTATATACTAGA